GGGAGGAAAGTTGGAATTAGCTGGCCCATTAGTGTCCACAACCTCAGCAGCCGTGACAGATGTAAGTGGTTGTTTTTCCACAGAAACTGGGACAGTAATTTTCGTCCCATAAGCTGAAATACCATGGAGTGAATTTTCTGTAGCGGTTCCAGATGTTTGGCCATTGGGTATACTTATAGTCAATGGAGCTTCAATAGTATTTCCATTTGACATATGTGAATCACATGGAACCCCAGAAGCAATTAATACCTATCCAAGCCCAAAGCAACAAAAATTGACTGTATGAGAAAAGAGAGAAGCATGCGTGTCACCCCGAAAATCAACGACTAATTCTAGTAATAGGTAGGAGTATGCATTTAAGGGTAGAGGGTGGCATCCTAGCATAGTCAAATAAAAGCGAGTGCAATGTTTCTTTGTTTCAAAAATAAAAAGCAAGTCCAAATACATAAATAACCAATGCACGCCACATACTAATTCCATTTCTAAACCATGCAAAATGAGCTTGTCAAAAAGTATTTATCGCCAAAGAGGTGCATTTCCCAGACCTGGGGAATTATATCTCAGGTTCTTAACCCATTTATGTATTTCATCATATATGTAATGGACTAAATTCAAGATCCTTCATAGGTAAATGTAAATCCATCAGCACAGTTCATTGACTTAAGAAATTTCAGCAGTTTCGGGAAATCTGTTAGACCTTCACCTAGAAGCATATTGTGCTGCAGGAATAAAATGACTAATTTACTAGTACAAGTTAAATTGCAGCTGTCCGGCTGTTAGGTTGGCCAACCAAACTTTAAAATGAAGCCACTTTAAAAACATTTTTAGGAAAAATGGTGAAGGAAATCACCATTTTGGGCAGGTCTTGTTCGTTTACCTTCACATATGCTGTAGCCTCTGCTGAAGCCTCACTGCTTACGGGAGGAAAAGCTTCCAATTCATATTCTAGATCACTATCGTCATCCTGCCATCAAAGAAAAAAAAATCAAACCATAAAATCATAAAATTAAAAAATCACAGTGCAAGTTCAAAAAATAAGGTGGATCATTCATCTCACTGAGCAACAGATAATGGATATCGACCACCATACATTAGTTACCAATATGTAGTATTTGAGAATATACATTATTCAATGCTTTCAACACAGATCACAATAAACACTAGATTCAATGCAAAATTATTTTCTGCTGCCACTTATTGAGTAGACAATAGTGAAACAGTAAGAATGGGATCCTCTCAAGAGCAGATAAATGAAGCTGCTCACAGATTTATAATCCCAAGCTTAGGCAATATGTGCACAAAGTTTACCCCAATTTAGCCAGGAAATGTAATGATTTGTGGCATTCCATTCCCAATTTGTAGGGAAACAGACCACGGGAGACGTCTTCCATGCTACACTAACAGATATACAAGAAGCAAAAGCATTTGATAATATACAGAAATGTAAAGCCAACACTGCAGAAAAAGGACAATACTAAGCTGGACGAAAGTGCTCATCTCAACTCCTCTCACCAGCTTTGGCGTCTGATGAGGGGGGACTAGGGAGGTGGGGCGTTGTCGAAGTCGAACATACAGGGAATTGGAGGTAGCATTCTACCGATGTCAAGTTGTGGACTGGTTTCTTCAGCCGTTTTTCTATGTATTGGTGTTCTATATGACCAACATGAGACTCGACTTGTTAGATATTTCGGAGGTTCAGTGAGCACCGTGCCGAATCTCTCTACATTTTCTTCTCTTCCATTTACCAAATCAACAACCACTACTACTACAACACATCAATCCCAAGCTAATTGCAATTGCCATATGAATCTTAACTATCCAATTTGCTCTATATGGGCCTGTTTAGGGGTTTGCTGAATCACAACAACAACTACTACTACGCTTCAGTCCCAAGGAAGTTTAGGTCGGCCATATGAATCCTCATTGACTATGTCACTCAATTTAACTCATCTCATGCCAATATTATGCAAGTTCAAATTAGAAGTTCTATATATTTTCTAAACATATATCTCTCAAAGGCTAAACTACTCCCTAGAAAGCATACATCTTTTTCTGATTTAAAAGAAAACAAAAAGGAAAAAAACCTGCAAAAATTCAAATAAATGCCCTATAGTTCCTCAAAAGCATATCGGTAACTCCAAATTCAAATAATCATCATAGAACAAGTCCTTCACATAAACATCACACACACACACACATAGTTGTAGGAGAAGTAAATGAACTAATTTCTGGGAGTAGGACTGACTAGAGGTTGAGCAGAATCATCATCAAATTTGTCAAGCAAACCATGGTGATAAGCCAAATGGCGCCACAGCATCTGGTACTCTCTGGCATTTGTAATCCCAGTTGTGGTCTTCTTCACCAATTCATTCCAGTCAATTTTCACATCTTGAACTTGTGACACCTCTTGCAACACCGTCAACACAGTCATTGCTGTATACCTTTCAAACCCACATTTACAAAACAACCAAAATTAATATGCATAATATATTCACTAAACAATACAAACACACATGAAACATATAAGGGGCGGAGCTAGAAGCCTGAATGCAAGTTCAGCCGAACACCCTAACTTTTGCTCAAACAATATAAATATGTATAAATATAAAATTTAGAATCAAGTTAGTAGCACTTAAAGTCATCATTCTAAAATCTAGAAATCATAAAGTTTGAAATCATGGTTTCGCCTTTGATTACATAGATACATATATACATACATATGTGTATATGTGTAGTGTAGTAAAGGCAATAGCACAACTTAAAAAAATAGATCCAAGAACATTACAAATACACACACACAAACACACACACAAACACACGCATATACACATAAGTTTTCAAGAACCAACTTGAAAACAAAAAAGAACCAACCTTTGTAAGAGAGAGGATACATCATCTTCACCAATAAAGACCCTTTTCTGTAACTTCCTTTTCTCCACCATTTTCTTTCAATTCTTGGCTTCTTTTTTCAGAACCCCACTGCAATTTTCTCCAAAATTTTTGAAGGGTTTTAGGAGAGAGAAAAAAGAAAAACCCCAACTGCGTTTTTTTGAGTAAAGGGAGGAGGAGGAAGACCGACCGTTGAAGAGCGTGGACACCACGAACACTCCGCAATGGTGGCACCAATACAGAGAGAGAGAGAGAGAGAGAGAGAGAGAGAGAGAGAGACCAAGTCAAAGTGAATATTTGAGTTTTTCTATTCCAAGCATCCGAATCCACATTAATTTTGGGCCAACAATATCTCAAACGAAAAAAGAGAAATGGTTTTACAAATTTTTGTTAATAATGAAAATGCCTAGTTTAATTAACAAAATATTTAAGATTTTGATTTGATGAACTCTAATTTCCATGCTAAGTACATTCATCACTACACAAACTGTTTTAATGTTATACAAAGTTTCGTCTTTTAATTTCTTGTATGTGAGATTCTTACCAAAATAAAGCATGTACTTAAGCGTCTCCAATTGGTATTTTCTTGGATTTGAGGACGTGAGACTCAGGTTCTTATGTCTTCCTCATAGGCATTGAATGTTTGTTCCGATAATCGCTCCGGTTCACAACAAGTGATTTTTTTGATATTTTTACACAGATTAAGAAATTCATATTTTAACATTAATTAACAATGAAATTGACCATATTAACCTTAACTATCTTTTCACATAAATACTCCTAACACATATTCCAATATTATTTACTCCAAGGGCAATGTAGGAAAAAAATAATTACTTCATTCTTCAAAAAAGGAAAAATTACTTATTTTGGACCACAAAAAAAAGACCAAAAAATCACTTATTGTGAACCGGAGGGAATAATAAAGTCAGTTCGTAAATCAAAAAGTATCAAATCGACAAAATTAAACAAAATGATAAGTCAACATCACGTTTTTCATTGAAAATTGATAGTTCTACCTTAATTCTTGATTGAATTTGTTCGCACAAAATTTTACAAAATATCCTTATTTTCGTATCATTTTGTCAACATTTTGAATATGTTTATATATGTTTTTTGTGTGTGAAATAATTACGTAGTTTTTAATAAAGACAAGTTAATGAAGATTATATATATCAGTCTTTTTCAAGAAATAATATGTCTTTTGAGAGAGAGGTTTAAAAGAGAGAATATATTTTCACATTATTTTGCTAATATTTACAAAACTACTTTAATCAACAAAAAGTTTAAAACTTCAACTTGATGAAATCTAGATTTCAAGCTTGTGCTTAGCTGTTAATTACTTCTACCTTAGTTTATGATTAAATTCGTTTCCGCAAAATGCCACTGTTTTCGCATCTTTTTGTCAAACATCATTTCAAATAAATGTTCTTGCTTCTTACTTTGTGTGAAAGTAGTCTTTTGAAAGACAAGTCAACGAACATTTTGACTAAAAATCCTTAAATTCCCAACTTCATGTCAAAAGACTCAATTCAATGGTATCTTGATTATTGTTAATCTAGTTGAGTCTTTCGTCATTCTTTATTGGACTTTAATCTTGTAATCAAACTCATAGCTAATCTTAGTTATTGAGTTCGTAATTAAATATTTATATATATTTAATAAATTTTTAATACAAATAAGATCGAAGCAAAAGTTATTGGGTTCGTCCAAACCCTAACTGACACTCTCCCTTCGCCCCTGCTTACATGTCATGCACTATATCGTTAAATTGCTCTACAATTATGCAATCATGTCCAAATTTAGCTAAGGTACAATCTTGCGTGTAGATTGACGTTAACACTTCTATGTTTGAGAATTTTTCATTGAAAAACGTTTCAAAAAGTAAATGTGAAAAATGGAAGGAAGGTCAATTTTCTAAATTTGGATAAACATGTCTTTAATGCGAAGATCATGTAATTTAACATTCATATTAGTACAATAAGTAAAGGGAAAGAAAATTCAAAAGTTTAAGTTGTGGAAAGATAACTTGATAAATATATAATAACCAATCCAAGATAAGAAAGCATTGAATCGGACTAAATAGAAATTTGATTGAAAAATTGGAAGAATAATAAAAACAATAAATTCATACATCATCACTAGTTACACTTTTTCTTTTCTTTTCAATAAGAAAAATGTTTAGCAACATTAGTTATGAATTAGATTTGGCTTAAATAGAAGGAAAGCGACTATACAACTGATGTATATATCAAATCCAGTTCTCAAGAAATAGATTTTAAAGAGGGAATATTTTGTCTTTTGCTCTTCATTCCATTTAGATACAGTATACATCTCTCATGAAGGAATTCTGCTTATTTCTGCAGCTATCTCTCATTTCCATGAAAAACCAGATATTTTTTTGCTACCCCAACATAAATTAGGGTCCATGCTGCATGAAACCTACAAAAGTACAAAAGGAGCATATGAGATATTTAGAGATTGCAACTTAAGAATACTACCTCTACTTTTCTTTTTATCATTTATATCCCGAAGAATAGACTGGAAATTTCTTTCTCATCTGCCTATGCCTTGGTAGGCAGAGTTACGAAGTACATGTGTTGATGGGAGGTAGCAAGTATCCTGTGGAATAGTCGAGGTCGCACAAACTTGGCCCAAACACCAACCGGCGTTATTTTTTCTAGAAAAAAAAAAGGATGAAAGATGAATAGGTAGAGGCTTAACTCATCAATTTATGATACTCCTACAACATTCTCACTGCATTTTGGAAACTTTAACCAGCAAACTATTCTAACAAGTATGCACCACATGTAAAATATTGGATTCAATTTAACGAGAAGGTCAAAGAATAAAATGTTTTAGTTACTACTTTTCCTTCGGCATTGTCATCTTTTGGAGTTCTGCCATTTGGAAAGGTTCATATACAGACATTTAAGGTCACTAGCTCCTAAAAAGTAGAAATATTATGGGAAGATCCTTATCCTGCATTAATCATACTTGATCAGGTTCCAATGCGCTCACTTAAATTTAAATATGCTTCCCCTTCCCTGCTATATTGCGATTCTGTCCTCCATGCGTCTTCTCCACCCAATCTATTCTAAATTTGTATTTTAACAGCTACAAAAGAAACTAAAAGGCACCAACGTATTTGATATTCTGGCTTTCAAAACGTATCTTTCCTTTTTAACTTGAGGAAATGAACTGCAGATTATCCAAATCACGAGTTAGTATTTATCTCATCAGATATTGTTTAGCCATTGAACTTCGTCTAGAGAGGTAGTGACAACGTAAAGGTGTGATCACGTTGCGGAACATAGACATAACCGAATATAACATTTACCAACATAGAGTTCAAGTCTTAGCATGACATTTCAAGCTTCGGCATTTCTCAAGAATACCAGTTATATCAAAGTTTACACTCAGGAAGGAGTCCTTCAAGTGCATGGTTTGCCTCCTCCCTAAGAAGACATCATTTAACTTTAACACTAACAACAAAGTGAGACAAGACTGGCCGGGCCGAGCAGCACAGCATTTTTGTTATAGCGGTGGTATCCGGCCAGCTTGCATGCACCTCGACTATTACCTCCTACCAACACAAGTACCTAGAAGAACTCACCTAGTATTTTTTGTCTCTGCTAGGATTTAAACATCGGTTTCCAAGGTTTGCACTCATTTCATTTGGCCACTAGACCAGACCCTTGATTGTAGCTTATAACATTTTCTAGAAAAAGGAAGAGGAAATTTCAGATAAAAGAGTTTAACAGCTCCTCATCTCCAGGTAAGTTATCAAGTGATGGAAAGAAAAGCTGGAAGAAACCGTAGTTGCAAAGCAATAATAAATAAGTTACCTGCCAATGTTTCAAGTCAAGCACTCATTAGGTTCTGCTCTAGTCAATTGAAACTGCTTTCTCAGAGCCACCATGTCAAAGTGATTTTCTTACCTTAGCTGCAGCATCAGAAATTTCTCAACATCACATTTGCTGTTTTTGGTTAGAAAAAATACAGTATGTTTCCCAGGCCTACAACTCTAAGAAGACAAGAAGTCTAAAACCCGCACAAAAATTTCACATGAATTTGAAATTCTAGCATGTCCTCGAGGTTCTTTTATCCCTTTCCAATCAGTGACATCCTCGATTTTTTTTTTAACTTGATAAATACTAGAACAGTTTCACTTTCACCCATTGAGGTGTTTGATAATTGCAGAGCCAGTCCTTTAAGTTTCAAAACATACAGAAACTTCCCTTGATTGAAGTTTGCAGTTTTTAGCAGTGTTTGTTTCTCATGCAACAGTATCCAATCTAAGAGCAAGACACTACCAATTTTGCAAACTTTGTATTTCATGCAGTAAAGATTTTCTGTTTTCACAAGAATAAACCAAAAGCACAGCAAAGAGAGTGAGTGAGAGTACAGAACGATCACCCAAAACCGGTTCTAATGGGCACATTCAAATGGCATGCAATTATCCATTAAGGGAACTAAACCATTCCATATATTTACTAAGCCAAACTGGCACCTCTCTAATTTTTGTAACTTGAGAATGTATGACCGAAATAGTCAATAACCTTTGTATTTGAGACGACCACCATTTTTATTGTTAGCGCATTAAGACATCTCTTATCAGTTCAATGAAATTTGCAAAAGCAGATGTCTCAAGATGACAACTAGTTTAAAAAGGATAATTAAGTGAGTCTTGTAATTAACCATCAGATGGATAAACAATTGACATACACGATGCAAGGGGAAGTCAAAGTTTACATGAACTAATGCTGATCAACTCGACATCGATTTAACCAAACTTTATTCAATTAAGAGTCCCTGAACAATTTGCAAGTCTGACCTGCAATTACTTCACATGGGGAACAAGAGAGTCTTTACTTTCAAAATATCTATTATTCGTCTTGTTCATCGCACTCGCTTAAACTTACAGAAAGCAGAGGTTGTTTTAGAGGTATTTGTGTGCTCAAGCTAAAATCTGAGTATACTAAACTAGTTCAATATAACGTATTAGCCAAGTTCATCCGAGATTTATCTTCTTGTGAACTTACAGCCAGCTGACTACTAGTGCACCAAGTTAAGAAGGCCACATTCTATTGCACCGACAGAGCTTTTGGATGCATTAAAAGGCAGCATATTTTCACCAATTAAAAGGAGAAATCCATCATTTCTGAATTTACATAGGAGAAATAGTACCATCTATAATTCTATTGCAAAAGCATCAGACAAGGAAGGTAAAGCCCTCGTGGACCCACCACAAAAAGCAACAAAAATTCCACTGAAAGAAAATAATCAAGGAATGTTGAACAATACCTGTACCGATTTCTGACATTTAAATTATGAACATCATCCTCAAGTTCACACAGAAGCTTGCTATGAGTAAGACCATCGATGATGTCCTTATTTTGCAACTCCTTCAACAAGCCAATGGCGTCTTTCACACTTGTTTGCCGGCAGACTTCATCAATTACTGTTCGGAAGGTGATGAAGTCAATTGTTCTTCGGTTTTCGTTCATCTCCCACATGAATTTCACTGCCTCATCAACCTCTCCGCCAAGAGCCAAGGAGTTCACCAGCGAGTTGTACGATTTACTACTAGGTATGAATGCTTTGCACTTCATCTTATCATAAATTTCCTTAGCATTCTTTGTTCGTCCTTGCGCACATAACCCGTGGATCAGATAATCATATGAAAATGAGTTGGGCTGGCACTGGTAAACCACACCCATTTGGTGAAATACCCTAAGGGCATCATTGACATGAAGCGAAAGCACATACCCTTTTATCATGGTATTCAAGGAAAAGATATCTGGTTCAATCCCATTATCGACCATTTGCTTGAAGAGAGACCTTATAGTATCCATATACATGTGATTTATATACGAATTATTCCTCCTACTAAGAAGAGCCGCGAAAAGAATATTATAAGTTTTAATCGACGGCCTACAATCCAATTTCCTACTATTTAACATATGCTTATATATCATCACTGCTCGAGTCAACTTCCTAGCTTCCGTGAAATAATAAATCATCGAATTGAAAAGCGCCTCGGACCCAATAGATGGAACGGCAAGTACTTGATTAACAATATGATCCATTTCTTCATACATTTTCGCTTCACCAAGCCGTTGTATAGCAACATGATACGTCGAAACATCATGCCTAAACCTGTGCTGTTTCGACGCCCAATTAAACAACTCCAAACACACTAAAGGATCATTTTCTGAAGTCATGACATCCCTCAGTTCTTCAGGAGTAAATCTAGGTGGAAGCTGAGTTACAGCCCTTTGAAATCGGGATTCGTCAAGAACAGGCTTTGATGCAGCTCTTGCTCTCCTGTTCATCCTCTTCCTCAAAGATCTTGAGGGAGGTCCTCTTAGCCATGTTGGTGCACTTGAACAATAGAAATTGACAAACTGGGTTTGAGCTAAAAGAGGTCTAGAATTTGATGGGTAGTAAATTTGAGGCCAAGAACACAATTTTCTTGAACTGTAGCTAAAAGGGTACACATGTGAATGATAATACAAAATGTTCAAACAAGTAATTTTATTAAAGGTGGGATCTTTAATAGAGAAAAGACTTAATTTTGAGCAGGAATGTGCAAAATAGTGCCTAAAAATAAACAGCATATTGAAAGTTATACTACCAAAGAAAGGGATGAATAGCAGGAAAATAGATCAATAAAATGCTTACTATGTGGAATTCCGCTTCTCTCAAATTCTTGGTGATTATTTGGAATGACCCAACTCAATCTGGGTTTCAAGTTTTGGTCTTTTGTAGTTCAAATAAGTTCTACGATTGTGTCGTTTGAAACAAGCAGTGAGCGGCCAAAGATGGTGGATATGCTCACACAGCAGCAACAAAAGGGTGGAAAGGGGAAGTGAAGAAAAATTGGGCAGCTGTATTAATTTTCTTCAAAAGGGTGGAAAGTGGAAGTTTAGAAAATTAATGTATGGCTTTATGCTTTTTCCAGGTGTTACCACTAAAAGTGAACTATTTTGTTAAAAGTAAATGAAATATTAGTGCTAAGTGTGAAAGCTTCATGCGTGATAAGTACGACTTTGAGTCTAAAACAAAAAATAATATATTATTTTGGATTTTTTTTTGAAAAGGGTGATAAACTCAATTAGTCGTTAAGTTATTTAACTCAAAATGAGTGAAGAAAAAGTTTATAACTTAACTCGTCTAACTCAAAATTAGATTTTTGCTTTTGTGTAATTGAGATAATAAAGTTATAATCTTTTCATTCCAGTATTTTTGGCATCCTTTATTTATTTTTTTATTTTTATTCTAAAATGGATATTTTTATATTAAAAATAATTGAATTGATATTCTTATTTTTTTTCGTTGACGTAACTTATTGTAGTCCTCCTAGATACAAATGAGTTACTTGGGACTAATAGTACTGTTGGTATTTATGCATATTTAGCGAGCAAAGTCTTCTAATACTTTTTTAACCATTATTTTCAGTCAAAAACCGATAAACAAATTAAAATAAAGAACCTTGTTTTTAATCAAGTAATAAATTTCAAAGACAATAGACTTTTGAAGAAAATCAAATTGAAGCAAGAACCTGAATTGAAAGGTACGATCTTAAAATCTTTAACCGATCATTCTTTTTGTACCATCTTGGTACGTTTTTTTATAAACTTTTACCTTATAAAAAAAAATAATAACCGATCATTACTTTCAAAAGAATTTTGGTGGACTAACCCCAAGTGCCTAAAAAACATTATACGTTCAATTATTATCCACAATGCATCATCTATCTTATTTTCCTACAGCATGGAGTATCTTAATCAAAACTTGCTTAGTCAATATTTATCACGAGATGTTCTGACTGACCTTTCCCCTCAAATTAGATTGATTGCTAATCGTTAGGATTAAGGGTTCATAACATCATAATCATCGTCGTGTCATCCATCATCATCATTAATGTTATATGGCTTTGTCATTATTGTTATAATGATTTGATACAATCAGAGATTAGAAGGGATATACTTAGTAGTTTGGAGTTTAGCGATAAAAAAGTATATACTATCTTCAACAATTAATTTGTATAAATCAGGTTGCTTATGAGAAAAATTACAAGCAAAACTTGTACAATAAACATTCATTGATAGCATGGTAAAAAGATAGTAACCAACATGCTTATCAGATTGAATCTGAGGATTTCTTGTGTTCAAACAAACTGGGAATACGTGAACACAACGAGTGCACAAGAATATTGTGATATCTGATTTGGTGTTTAAAATAAATAAATAAATAAACTGGCAAGCACAAATGTGTACCAACACATTTATTCTACCCGCCCTTTTTTATACAGCTATTCTTACAAAAGTCTTCCGTACATATTACAACATGATTTGGGATTGTTTTAACCAACTAAATATAACAATTTTGTATCAGTCCTGAATCTCTTATAAAAAAATAATCAGAATTTTAAAGGCAATTTATATCTGCTCCAACAAAAGAGTAATAACAAATCTAATAGACAAAACTTAGATGCTGCAGTGAATCCAGACCTTGGCTATTGACTGTAATAATCTTTTTAGCTGCTGGAACTCAAAGCAACTGAGAGGACAGCCAAGCTTTGCTAAAAGTAAACAAATGGTACCAAACGTGCTGGCCTTAATAAGATCACCACACATCCCTGAGATATCTTCCATCCATTTGGAGTTTCTTCACAATAGCCTCAGCTTTGGTTGAGTCGACCTTATCCTGGATTTCATTTAAACAAAATAACTAAATAAGATACAGCAAAAGCAATAAGAACATAAGTTCCTGCCTATCAGGACAGTCATATATCAAATCATCCACCATTTAACAGACAGATAAAATTGCTGGATTTACAGCAAATGATGTATTCAAGTCCAGCAGATGAATAAAGCATATACCTGCTCCTGGATTATGGTATGGAGTGTACGATGTACATCCCTGGCCATCCCTTTCGCATCCCCACAAACATATAGATATCCCTCCTGGGAGATTAAACTCCAAACATGGGAAGCCTGCTCATACGTCATAAGTTGCATTAGAATCACTTAGCTTATTACAATAGAGCTCAAGTCTTATTTTATCAGCACACTCACCTTTTCCAGCATTTTATGTTGAACATACTCTTTCTGGGGTCCTTCCCTTGAAAATGCAATAATCAGCTCTGATATTACACCTTGATCCACAAAACTCTGAAGCTCCTCCTCATAAATAAAATCCTAAAACCAAATATCAAAGTAAGGATATTTACCAGAGGGTATCACTTATCAGACATCACAAATATATAAATTTGTAATCAGTCATAACCTACCATTCTACGATTCCTACAACCAAAAAACAACAAAGCAGGACCAAGTTGAGCCCCATCTTCCTTCAATGCTGCCCTTTCCTGAAAAATCCATCCGTCTTAGAGCACTTGCACCAGAACAAGCAATACTAATTTAAAAACAAAAAGGCAACTGTCGCACCTGCAGGAATCCCCTAAATGGTGCCAAACCAGTACCAGGTCCCACCATGACAATTGGAACTGAAGGGTCAACCGGTAACTTGAAATTAGATGGCCTAATGAAGATGGGAGCAAAGCTGAAATTTTGACTTTTCTCCAACGGAACTGCATTCTGTTTATTTTTTAATGCGCTCAAGATGTCAGTACAAAACCTATGTGCTTGTATAAAGAGCANTGGAGCAGAGCTGCAATTTTGACTTTTTTCCAATGGAACTGCATTCTGTTTATTTTTGAATGAGCTCAAGATGTCAGTACAAAACCTATTTGCTTGTATAAAGAGCAAAAGTAATTAGGAGTGCAAGGAAACATAATAAGGACTTGAATATTGACAATGCATGTGTAAGATTCTTCTCATACCTTCATCCAAGTCGAACACACTCCTTTGTGAATTCGGCCAGTGGGAGTTGGACCATAGACTAGTGCACAGGTCACATGGATTCTAGCAGGAGCAAATCTACAGATGATAAAAAATGGTTCCATCAATTTAATTCACAAATGTTGAGGCCAAGTATACAGCACTTATGTTTTGTGGATTTGTCAAAATTCCATCTGCCACATTAATCAGATGAGGCTACACACCGAGGAGATGACGAGATTGAATAGTAACGAGGCTGTAAACGAGGGGAAACCGCTGCAAAAAATACACCAAGGGGAGGCTTTGCCGAAGGGAACTCAGCCATTACTTCAAGAAGACTTCTTTGACTTGCAACAACCCATGCAGAATACTCATCCTGATGAAATCAAAATCAAGGGCACATTAGTGTGTCAATTTAACCTCGTGGGTTTATTACGACCCACCCAGAGGAAGTCCACAGAAATACTTCCTGTCAATGGTGCGTCAGTAATATAGCCAGAACAAAACGAAAGAAGATGGAACAGCATAATCAAACTACTTCATTGTTAAAAGAAGATTAACAGCATAACCAAAACTACTTCACCTTGCCCTGTGGAGATGCCAAGAACTTGAGCTTTTCTGCTTCACTAGGTTCAGCTGCATGGGCAGCCAATGCAACCAAAGTAGCCTGAAAACACATCATTCAGAATCTCCAGTAAAGCAATGCAATATTAACCGTTAAAATAAGTAAAATGTAATATCTAATGAAGACAGACCTTCCGCGGAGGATTCAGAAGATCTGCAAAACGTGCAAGTGCAGCACGCAGTGTGCAAGGAC